CCCTCCTCTCCCCATTACTGTGACCCACGTTGGGGCTGTTTGTGATTTTTCCTGATGAAAATAACATTGGCAAGAACAATTTGGCCTCTAAGGCTTTTCCCTCAGAGTATTTTCTCAGAAGCGGGTTACAGGATCAAGGTTGTGGAACATTCACAGCTGAACTTCATGGAGGGAGGTTCCCACGGCGGCAGCCACTCTTCAAGGGACGTTCCCAATGTGACAGGCCAGGACCGGGCCGCCGGGGTCCTGGTGGGGGTGCTGGGTGTCCTCGGGCTGGCAGGAGGGTCCCCAGGGCTCCCCTGGGGCTGCTGCAGAGATGCCCTTCTCCCAGGAATCCCGTGTTAGGTCCCTCTGCTATGCTCGTGGTCCTGGCTTGCGCTGGGCATCCCCACAGGCTTCCCTGGTAGTTCAGACGGTAAAGAATCCGCCTGCAACACGGGAGGCCTTGATTGAGTCCTGCATCGGGAAGATCCCCTAGAGAAGGGATAGGCAACCCCCTCCAATATTCTTGGGCTTCCCTGGTGGTTCAGATGGTAAAGAATCTGCCTGAAACGCGGGAGACCTTGATTTGATTCCTGTTGGGAAGATCCCCTGGAGGAGGGAATGGCAACCCCACAGCCTGGTCCGGGGCTCACAGGGTCGCTGGCTGTCAGGTGGAAGGCCCCGCTGTCTGTGTAGTTAGTCTGTGAGAGGAGCTGTGTTCTGACACATTGTCTGCACATGCAGGTGGACTGGCAGTGGATCAGGAGGTGAAGGCGGAGCTTCCGGGCAGGATCCAAGGGCAGGTGGGGCTGCTCAGCCCCGCTCCTGGCCCCCTGGCCCACTGTCACCGCAGGCTCCAGGCAGGTGAGAGCACATGTGGCACTTGGGGCTCTGGGGGTCCCCTGGCTGCCCCCTTCCTGGCCCTCAAGGTCACCGCCTCCCCTGAGACTTTCTACTGGAACCTTCGGCAAATCGTGGGAAGGACATGGAAAGGAAGGCTCGGCCCCCTGCCCCCCCCCACCATGCTCCCCCCTCACCCTCTCTCCTCTCCTGGTGTCCCCCCTCCTGTCTCCCCCTCCACCACCACCATCCAGCCACAGCCTTTGGGCCAGACGTGTTCCTCCTCTTCATGCTGACCTAGAGCCTGGGGCAGACACACCAGCCAGGCACTTCTGTGCACCTCCCTCCCCACTGGGACCCCCCCAGCCCCACCCTCTGTATGTGACACATCACCTTCTTGTCCCCCGAGCCATCTGATCACCCACTCACCCCCAGCAGGAGTCCTGTCAGCCCCGGGATCTCTGAGAGTCGTCACATGACTTTCTTCCTCCGAGGCTCCCTTCAGACTGGGCCGGGGCTCTGGGTTTAAGTAACCACTGCCCAGCCTGGGTTCCTGGGTGCCCCCGACCCCGAGTCTTTTCCTAGGCTTCTGTCCTGAGCCCAGCAGCTGGCCCTGGTTTCCAGCTCACTCCCTCGGGCCTCCTGGAGCCCCAGGGGTGGCGGAGGATGAGGGAGAGCCTGCGGAGGGGGCTCAGCGAGGGCAGGACCCCCCGTCTGGGCACCATCCCAGGTCGTGGGAGGACCAGGTCCCTGGCCCAACCTCTTTTGGAGGGGGAGGGGGCCTGGTGTCCAGCACACATCTGGGAGGGTGGCCTTTCCTGTGCGGGAAAACAGCCGGTTAAATGGACTGAACCAAACTGGCGTCTTTAAGGGAGATCTTGGGTCCTGCACATGCCTCCCAGGGGTTCACCTCAGAGTGTCATGGACCCTGCTGACCCCACCGACCCCGCCAACCTTCTTTGCTCGTATCTTGCTCCAGTCATGCTTGTGGAGCACTGCCCTGAGGAACTCCTTCCTGGGACCTGGACTAAAGGCGTTGGCATCATAGACAACCCCCCCACCCCTAGTCTGTGATCCCACTGGGGGCGGTGTCCAGGACCCTGCGTCCCCAAGGTGCTGGTCTACAGATCACACATGGGTATGGTCTGGACACGGCTGCTTTTCTGGGAAGGAGTATACTTGTCCAGATCCTATAGAGGGTTGAATCGTGCCTGCCCCAAAGATGCTTCCACCTGGACCCCTTTCTTGGAAGCGAGGTCTTTGCAAAGGTGATAACATTGAGGATCCTGAGATGAGATGGTCCTGGTTACAAGGGTCAGCCCTAAGTCCAAGGACAGGTGTCCCTACAGGAAACACCGCGAGAGAGGAGGCTGTGTAGTGATGGCGTGACGTGGCCGCGAGCGGACGATGCGTGGGGTCCCTGGAGCTGGAGGCAAGGCTGGAGCAGGGCCTCCCTGAGTCTCCAGGAGGGAACAACCCTGCAGACACCTGGGTTCCCAACCCTGGCCTCGGGAACGTGAGGGACTGGATCTCTGTTGCCTGAAGCCCCATGTCTGTGCTTATGGCAGCTCCAGGGAGCTGATACTGAAAGCCTGTTGCTAAATCACGCAAAGACGTCGGGGTTCATGGCCTCCGGAGGAGTAGAATTCGATCCAGGGCCAGAGACGAGGCTGGATCGCTCAGAGCTTTTGTGTAATAAAGTTTTATTAAAGTATAAAGGAGATAGAGAAAGCTTCTGACATAGACATCAGAAGCGGGCAGAAAGGGTACCCCCTTGCTAGTGTTAGCAATGGAGTTATATACTCTCCAATGAATCCAAAGAATGTCTGGAGGTTGTAAAAACCTCACCAGACCTACTCCCATAGTTTACATTTTAAGTTAACAGAATTAGCCAGAAGGTTTAATCCAGAGACTGTCCTCAGGCAGGATACATTATTGTTATATAATCCTAAGGAATGTAGAGGAAAAAAAAAAGTGAGAAGTTTGTCCTTTCTTCCTCCTTGAGTATTCCAGACCTCTCTGCTTGGGGACCCCTAGACTTCTTATCAACCTGCCTAGGAAATGACTCTCTCAATACGATAGAGAATGGAGGGTGGGGGCTGCCCCTCTTAGAGTGGATGTGGCCACTCCTTCAAGTCATCCCCAGGTTCTCACCAAGCATCCCACCGCACCCGTGGCTGGGCGCGGAATCCTTGGCCTCCTGCTGAAAAGCAGACTCTGACTCAGCATCAGGGCAGCCAGACTGGGCTTCCCACTGGTTCTGGGTGTCTGCCCTCATGCTGGTGAGCCCTGGACCATGAGTGACCAGAAACAAAACCAGAGGCCCCCTTCCCCGCCCCCAGCAGCACCTCTGATGCCTCTGGGAGCTTCCCCGTGCCCTGGGGGATCCGTGCTCACCGCCCTGGTTGGATTGATGGAGTGTGTGCTGGGCAGCAGATGTTAACAGCTCCCTGGGACGCCCCCCTTCACAGCCCAGCTGGGAACCCCGTGCCCAGCAGCCTCCAGTCCTGACACTGAGGATGAGGCACCTGGAGGGCAGTGTCCCCAGAGGAGCCGTGGGCATTCACAGGGTCAGGCGGGGGCCCTCCCAACGTGTTCTAGCACCAGCCAAAGGGACGTGACTCTGGGCGGAGCACAGCCCAGGGCACAGGAGGGCCAGGACCTGACCTGGAGACCGAGACTCAGGTCGGAGAAGGAAGTGGGTGCCCACGGTGGCCGGCAAGGTGGGCGGCTCCCAAGTCAGCTTCCTCTCCTGGGGTCCATGGGGTCCTAGGTCAGGAGAGGCCCGAGTAAGAGTGGGGGCGCCGTGTGGGGGCGGGGCTGGGGTGTCAGCTGAGGTTTGCAGTGCGATCACTGCCTGTGTGGGGACAGACCCTGTCTGACCCGGGAGGGCCTCTGCCTCGGACCCCACCGCCCAGGGAGCCATCCCCTCCCCTCCTGGTCGGCTCCTCTCACTGACTTCAGTACAGATCTCCCACCTGCCTGGGCTGTTGAACTTGGACCTCAGGCTGTCCTCCATTGCAAAACAGACGCCTGACCGAGTGCCTCAACCCTCCAGGGCTAGACCCTGGGGGAGCCCAGCTGGTGAGAGCAGTGACCCGACCCTGACCCTCGGTGCAGCCATCATGGAGCTTCAGGTGTGGGTCCTGAGCGTCTGCATTCCAGCCTGGAGTCACCAGCGCGGAGGAGACCCTCGTGGTGCAGGGAGGCGGCACCACCCCCCTCATGTCCCCCAATCTGACCCCCGCCCCGGGCTCAGAGCCGTGGCCTCAGGCACCCACTCAGCACCGGAGTGGTCGCTGCTCCATCTGTCCACCTGCCCGCAGTGACCTGAGGAGACCCAGAGGCAGGGGAAGGGTTTCGGAAGGACCCCGGGGGTCACTCCAATGCCGTCTCTGTGGTGTGACACCTGGCCAAGGACAGCCCTCCGAGCCATGCGTCACCATGCGGTGACTCACTAGGAAGCTGGTGGCCAGACTGCCCTGCAGCACCGGGCTCAGGGCTGCCCCCTCGCAGGGCCCCTGGCCTCCCTGTAGTGGGGCCCCGGGCTGAGGCCATGGGGCTTGGAGCATGGCCCCCGCCAGCCAGGGGAGGGGGCCAGGACCCCCGGTTCCCAGGTCCAGCGCTGTGCTGGCCTCTTCTGATAACCCCCTCCCCCATACCCAACTGCCCCATGTCCCTGTGTATCTGGGCACCCTCCTTGGCACGGGGTGCCCTCTGACCCCTGACCCCTAGCCTCCAGCCAACACCAGCCCAGCCACAGCCTGACTCCTCCCTGTCCACCTCCAGCCCCAGGAGTGCCATTTGGTCATCTGCAGGGGTCACCTCCAGAGGGGAGGGGATGTCCCTCTGGAGCAGGGATGAGGTTGGTAGGACAAGTGGGTGGGGTGGAGGGCCCCTGGCCAAACTGCTTTGTGGAAACTTCTCCCCAACCTCAGGAGGGTACCCCCACTTCCAGGAGGAGGCCAGCCTGTGCCAAGAGAGCAGCCGCGTGGGGGGTTCGACTGGAGGCTGGGGGGCCAAGATGCCGATTAGAGTGTCTGCCCCGGTGATCCCCCCACCTTCTCCCCAGGTACCCAGGGGTGGCTGCAGATGGGAGCCAGTTCCTGGTCCCACAGCTGCCACCTGCCCAGCCCCGCAGTCCCCTCCAGGTTTGGGACAAGTGAAGGGTGAACAGCATGGGCTATAGGACAGGGGTAGACGAGGAAGCTGTCCCTGGAGGAAGTGGGGAGAAACCCCAGAACCGCCTGGTGGGGGCGGCCAGCTGCGCGTGTTCCAGCCACAGTGCCGGCTTCCCTCAGAGCAGCGCGTCAGGCCGCGGTCTCAGGAAATATTGGGGAAGTGCTGGAGGTTGGTGGGCGGTGGGGAGGCCTGAATTTCAGGATCAGCGAGTGGGCAGTTGTCAGACTCAGGAAGATAGAGCGGAAGTGCACACCCCCCTCCCGGTGGTGGCCCAGCAACTGGAGCCACCAGGACCCCGTTCCCCTCCGTCCCAGCCCCCACGTCCCACTCACCAGCTGCAGCCACCGAGCAGGGCTGATATGAGCAGGCCTTCTCTCCAGAAAGGACCCCGGGGTCTGAGGGAAGTTTTCTCCAGTGCTTTGTTGTGAAAACTTTTTTTGAAACCAGTATTTCCTTCTTTAAAATTGTAGGAAAATACTTAAAATGTAAAACTTGCCACTGTATCCATTTTTAAGTGCACAGCTCAGTGGCATTAAGGACACTCGTGTTGTTGTGCAAGCATTCCCACCATCATCTTCAGGACTTCCCATCTTCCAAACTGAACCTCTGTCCCCAGGAAAGATTCACTCCCCACCCCCCACCCCAGCCCCTGGCCCCCACCATCTACTTCCTGTCGCTATGGATCTGACCCCTCCAGGAACCTCACGTAAGTGGATCACACAGTATTCGTCTTGTGTCTGGCTGGTATCACTGAGCATCATATCCTCAAGGTTCATCCATGTGTAGCAGGTGTCAGAACCTCCTTCCAAGGCTGGAAGATGGACCTTGTGTGGATGGACCACATTTTTTCTGTCCATCCATCCATCCATCCATCCATCCATCCATCCACCCAAGGGCCCTTGAATTGTGTCCACCCCTTAGCTATTGTGAGTAATGCTGCTATGAACACAGATGTACTAATACATCTCAAAATACCTGTTTGAGGCCCTGCTTTCAATTCCTTGGGGTCTATACCTAGAAGTGAGTCATATGGAAATTCTATTTTTCACTTTTTGAGGAACCACCATCCTGTGGCAGTTGCACCACTTTACACGCTCGTCGTCACCAACACTTGTGTTCCTGTTTCTTTGTTTCTACGTCACTGTCATCTCAACGGGGGTGTGTTGTGAAAACTGCTAAGTGTCTAGGAAGTCTGAGGACCCCACCCACATCCTCTATCCCAGGAAAGCAGTTAGCAAGTTCACTCCACCTCTTCTGATATCAGCATATATGTTGTTTTCGGATGTTCCACTTAAAGTGAGTTGTAGACATTTGGACACTGGATCCCTGAGTCAACTTCTGGGATAAGAAGTCACCACAATGACATCTCTGCTCTCAGGACATCCGTAGCTCCTCACCGCCCACCCCCATCGCCCTTCCTTCCCCTGTCTCCCAGATGCCCACCAGCCTGCACTCCAGGTCACAGCCAGCCTCGGGCCACACTTTCTTGTTGATGACACTCCCTTGGCTGCAGTCGGTCCACACTCTGGGTCCGTCTCACTGTCCCCTGGAGTCTCTGGCTTGCCCACCATCCCCTGCCTTGTTTCCTATAACCTGGAGGAAACCAGGGTCCAGAGTGGTCATCCTTAACTTTGCCCCCAAGAGATAGTCACCAATACCCAGAGACATCCGGGGCTGTCACTCCCAGGGATGGCAGCATGGTTCAGCACCCTGCACCGTGTGGGGCAGCCGCCACCCCACAGAGCTGTCCCCCCGGAGCTCAGCAGCCCTGGAGTGAGGACCCCCAGTCTACACAGATCTGTCCCCCTGGAGCTCAGCAGCCCTGGGGTGAGGACCCCCGGTCTGGAAGCTGCTGAGCTCCAGCTCAGACACCTCTGTCCAGGTCCTTGCAGCGAGCGCTGCCAAGAGCTTGCTCTTCTGCCAGGGCAGCCGACAAGGGGCGCCTGTGACCTCTCTGCGGGCAAGCCCACACCTCGGGCAATTCCTAAGTCACTGGGGACCCCACTTCACCCCCAGAGATACCTGGTCCCCGGGGACCCTTCACCTGGTGGCCTCCACCTCTGCCTCTGTCCCAGGAGGTGGGGGTGGTCGTCACCTCCCCACTGTCAAGCCTCCTTTCCCTCTGTCTCCAGTCTCTTGCTTTTTTCGTTTAGATTAGCCTTAGAGTTTTTAAAAGTATCTCTCTGGATTAATGGATTTTTACTCATTCACAGTGTTACAGTGGATCACAGCTATTATTCTGTGTCCATAGTGTGGCTGCTGGCCTTCCCCCAACCCACGGTCCCAGGTGGCAAGTGCCTCCTAGCCACACCTGCACCCCCACACCCCCTTCGCGGGTTCCCACCCACCTCCTTCCTGGTTCCTTTTCGAAGGGAGGGGCATTTGAGACCGAGGCCCAGGCGCAATCAGTGGCCTCAGGTGTCCCTGTCTCTAGATCATTCCTTCGAGCTAGCTCAGATACAGAGTTCAGAGTAAGCACACACACAGGCGGACACACGCACGGCAGCGCTGCTGCTCGTGCGACGTCAGGAGGCTCGGCCGTGTGTGGTTGTTCGTCTGTGCTACCTCCTCCTCGCCCTGAAACTCTCGGTTTCTAAGAACTTCGTGATATTACTCAGTTGCATTATCTCACGGGACCCAGGTTTCACATCTCGGCCTCGATCTCCGGCCCTGAGGAAAGTGCGGGTTTCCTCGTGGGGAAAGCGCAGGCCCTGACGAGCAGCTTCCTGAGGCCAGGGCTCCGAGCCGCCTGCACTGACTTCCCCAACGGAGGTGCCGCTGATCTGGAGAAAGTGTGACATTCAACCCCGTTTCCTCAAATACCCAAAGCAGTGCTCTGCACACAGACTTCTTCCACTCTCGAAACTGTTTTGAAGTGTGAAGTGTTTTAGGATGTCAGCAGAGGCAGGCTGGTGCTAGAGCCCTGTCCTTGCAGCTGCATGCTACCTCCAGGGGCTTCCCCGCCGTCAGGCCGTCAGGCGCCGCAGGCCTGAGGTGCAGCGGGCGTGGGCGTGGGCAGGGCCCCTTCTCTCTGAACAAGCTCCATCCTCCATCTTTGTGGCCTGGGGTGAGCCGCCCAGCTCTGGGCCTCAACTCCCTCACCTGTGAAATGGGGAGAATAAGGAGCTGCTTCCTGAGGTGCCTGGGGGTTGTGGGGGGCCAGGTGAGCACTGCAGGCAAGGGGCACGGACACGTCCAGCTGTGGACCCTGGCACGTGAGGACGTGGCCAGGCCAGCGGGGAGCGGACTCTGTGGGGGTGGGTCAGGGTTTGCTCACATCCAAACGTGGCTGGTATCTCCCACCACTGCCCACAAGAGGACGCCAACCCGGCGGCAAGGGCGCACCCAGCAGTGTGCAGATGGATCCAAGGACACAGGCTGGAGGGACAACGGGGTGAGAGCCATCCTGGGCGGGGTGCGTGTTCAGGCAGCAGCGCAGGACTGTCAACAGACTTGAACGGGCTGACCGGTGCCTTTGGCATGCCCCCGGGAGTCAGCAGAAAGGTATGCCGGGAATGACTTCTAGAGGGTCACCTGGCTGCCTTAGGAGGGCCTGGACAGTCAAGATAAGGAGCGGAGAGTGGGCCAGTGGTGGCCAGTGGGGCCAAGAAGTCCAATCAGTGGAAGTCGGGACTCGGGGGGGCACTGGTTCTAGGGTGACAGGGGCTGGGTTCTCGCCAAGGCACAGCCAAGACGACTGACAGCCAAGTCAGGGTGCAGGGAGACTCACAGCCCATCCGTCCACAGACGTGACCCCAGGCTTGGAGTTTTTCCTGGAGAAGGATTAGGAGAGAGCTGGCCGCCGTGGGGGAGGGGCCGGCCCGAGCCGGCAGGGGCGCGGACCCTGGAGGCACAGGGCGGGGGGTCAGATAGGACGCCAGCTGTCCCAGGACCGGGAGGAGAGGGTGCTGGGACTGGCAGGGTGGAGCGAGGTCCATCATCGAGAGGACTCTGGTTAGTGGGGTCCCTTCGGGAGAACCCATGTGTGCTCCCCCTGGGCTGTACACTCCAAGGGGACCCTGGTCCCCAGAGCAGGGACAGAGGAGGACGGGTGAGGAGGAGAGGGACTCAGCTCAGTGTACATGCTGACCATAGCATTTAGGGGTGATGGTGAGGCCTGGGCTATCTCCCTCAGCGGGAGAGGGCCTCTCCTCCATACCTTCAGGACTGTGACCTCCACCGGCCACCTGCTTCTCAGGAACCCCTGTGGGAACACAGTACCTCTGGGGTCCCCCTCACTGTCTGTGCATGCTCTTGCACCCTGGGAGGAGGCAGACAGCTCAGGCCCAGGACACCCCCACTGTCCCTCTCTATTGGGGCATGACCCCTACTGTGCCCCATTATTGCAGCCCTGGAATCCTCCCTCACAGCCCAGCTGCTGTCCACGTGCCTGAGCTCTGACCTCTGGGGCTGCACTGGATGGGGCAGGACCTCCTGGAACAAGAGCACTTCCGCACATCCCCGGCCGCCCCTCCACCCTGCCGTGTCCTCTCGGGGCTCCTTCCACTCCGGATTCTCAGATCTCCTCCACCATGTCCCCCACTGAACCAAGAGCCCCCCCTGTGGCCGCCCAGCCCTGCACATTTGAATCTGCCCCCTCTACCTGAGGTTGGGGTCCTCATCCTCCAGGCCCCACACCCACCGCACCCCTGCTCTTGGCTACCCCCTCTCCCCAGCATCGGGGTCACTTCCCAGAGGGCAAGCAGCTCTCAGGCCCTGATACCCAGGACCATGCCCACATCTGGCTGTGGCCTAAGGGCTGAGGGCAGAGCGGAGACCGAGAGGCTGGCGCGGGCACAGGCCGAGGCCTGACAGGGGTCTCCTCGCAGGCTCTCTGGGGTCTCCACGGCCCCACGCCCTCTACCCTTGGAGGAACTAGAACCTGAATTCTGGCCCTCGGGAGTCCTCCAGGCAGCACTGGCCTGGCCTGGCCTGGTTTGGCCTAGAGCCTATTTTCTCTTGTCGCCTGTGGTCTGGGAATTTCCTGGCCAGGCTCCCTGCCACGGAGACACTCGCGGGGAAACCCCAGGTGAAAGTGAAGTCACCAGGTCAGCTGGCGGTGTGAGAGAGGGCTGGCTGGCCAATATCCTGGGGGAGCCCCGCCCGGGTCAGAGGGGTGGGAGTCGGCGCCCACTCCCCCAGCTCACACCCCGAGTGCCAGCTCACCAGGCTGCACCCAGGCCCGCCCCGCCCCCCGGCCTCTCTGAGCTCAGCCGCTCTGCTCTCTCCAGGCACCTCTGCCCCGGGGCCTTTGCACAGGCTATTCCTCTCACTTCGGGGGCTCCTTTCCAAGTTGCACTCACCCCAGGCCCAGGGAGGAGCTGGCAGAGAGTGGACACGTGTCCGGGCTCGGGTGAAAGTCAGTGATCATCAGTACAGACCCCTCGGGTTTGCGGGGAGAGAACAAAGACCAGAGGGGCCTTTGTCA